ATTTTCATTTCAGATACCAGGTAAATGAATTTGAGCAGAATCTGGGCTTATGGACTTAAATCAATATAGTTGTAGAAGAAATACACTTAGGTATAGTGTCTTATGCTAATGAGGCAGGCAACCCATTGTTTCCTCCAGCTGCTTGAGTTGACCTAAGAACAGTACTTATTAAATATTATAATTGGAAGGAGAATCTACTTTTCAGTGCCATAGAGCAAGAGGAACAATAGGCTCCAGTAGAAGTGTATCAGAAACATGAATCTTCTTAAGTGAAATAAATATGTGAGAGCTTTCAAAGTGAGAAGGTCAGCTGAAAAAGAATAACATGACTTCTTTTTTTTAAAAAAACATATTGAAACGCTTGGCTATGTATGCAATATTGAAATGTGTTGTTAGTTAAGTTATAGAAATTTATTTTCCTTTTGCTTATATGACTCATAGAAGAAGAACTGACCCTCCTTTTTTAGTGAAATGACATAAATAATAGCTCATTTTAGAAACATAATATTCAGCTACAACTGTCAACATTATTAAAATAAGTTCAAGTATGCTAATGAGAAAGTTGCCCCCATTAAAATATATTTAAAAATGAACATGAACAATTAAGATTAAGAAATCTATATATATGAAAGGCTAATATGCAAAGTGTCCCCTCAGGAGTTCAGCCGGGAGACCAGAATTTGAGTGCTCACTATGATGGGCACTGACCAGCAGGAGGCAGCGCAGAATGAAGGAAGGCCCTGGCTGGTAGCCAGAAGGCCCCGATCAGCCCTGACCGCCGGCCAGGCTTAGGGACCCTACCTGTACATGAATTTCATGCACCGGGCCTCTAGTATAAATATAATGAAAATTATTAGGAAAAATAATTTCAAATGTAAGAGATAGCAATAACTATAGCATATCTTTTCTTTGACATCTGTAAATCTGTTTCTGTTTTGTTTCATTTACTTGTTGTTTTTTGTTGTATTTTTTACATCCCACATTTAAGTGAAATCATGGCATATTTTGTCTTTGTCTGTCTGACTTATTTCACTTAGTATAATAACCTAGGTTTTTTGTTTTTAAATAATTTTGAGCAATTTTTTCCTCACATGTTTTAAGCAACTTTATCAAACTACAGGTAAAAAACAAAATCTCACTTCAGCAGGGAACTTCTGCCTCTGGGAATGCTTTTGTACATTTCCACCACCAAACCTCCTCTGAAGGAAGGCTAATTAGAGGCTTCAATATGCACCTGTGTGAAAATTAACTTTTAAGCAGCCTTTAAAATAAATGGTTTTTAATTATTATCATTATGCAAAAACTGTATAAATGCTTTTAATTGTGCTTATAAAGTAACATTTGCTATAATCACATAATATCCTGGAGCAACCAAAAAGGTTTTATTTTTTATTATTAAAATAAAAATAGATGAAACCCTTCTTATTGATTCACAGACCATTTTAGTTTATTTTATAAGCACAAATGTTATAATTGAAATACACAGCCTGCTAAAATTTAACATGTATTGAATAGTAGTTATTTAAAATTAAATTTAAAGACCTTGAAAATAAGTTTAATTACCGGAAGATTAAAGGTCAAGGTACAAAATATTCAACTCTAATATTGAATTTCATGATTAGACGACTCAGCTTAGGTAATGGGAATAACATTTTTATAGAGAAGTATGATTGAACATACACGTTTTAAAAATAGGAATGTTTTATTTATTTAAAAATTATTTGATGCTAATGAGTCAGAAACAAAGCTAGGTAGATAGGAGCCAGACCATGGGAGGCGGAAGTGAAACCAGGAACCCTGCTAGGTGGAGTTGCTAAGACACCCAACTGGGGTGGGAAGGAAGGGTGCATGCTAGAGGCATGAACTTTAAAATGTATGGATATTGCTAAGATAAACAGTGTGCAGATTACCAATCACAAGGCAGTGAGGCAAACATGTACAAAAATAACACAGGCTCCCGACCCTTCTCCCTCGGTGCAGCACACAATGGATACCTGATGTTCCTGTTGTGGGGAGCACATCCCCTGTGCCCTCGTGGCTTACGGCCATGTGGGCCCCACACATGGGCTGTTAGACTTAATTAACTTGGATACTAAACTATTCCCGACTGTAACATGGAAAGGAAGCTCCGGACACTGACCTGCTCCTGGAAGCCCAGCTGCACCTATTCCAGGGCTGGCTTCTCCCAGTAAACTTTGGTTCCATTCATTGTTTTGTCTGCAACTTCATTCTTCAATCTCTGTAAGACATTCTTCAACCTTTGCATGCCCCCTACTGGCAGTCAAGCCCGCAGCCAGGGCGTGTGCCCCAACCAGGAATTGAACAGTGACCTCTTGGTTCATTGGTAGACACTCAACCACTGAACCACACAGACCGGGCATGCTATGATATTTCTATTATCTCCTTAAAAAAAATCACATTGCTTAAAATTGCTGTGTGTGTGTCTGCAAATGAGTCAGAGACACAACTTTGTTAAAAGACAAAAGTACTGCAGGTCTATTTTTATTCAACCTTAGCCAAACGATTTTTAGAAAACACTTGCAAACAATCCAAACACACCTTTAAAGCATCAGCTTGAGGTAGAAAGGATGGACGGGGTGGGAAGAGAAACGGTATTCTGTGATAATATAGGGTGGCATGGAAGCTGATTCATCTTTTTCTTTTGATATTTTTCCCTTCTCCAGCTACTTTTAATAAGAAATGTGAACCCTAGTTGGTTTGGCTCAGTGGATAGAGCATCAGCCTGCAAACTGAAGGGTCCTAGGTTTGATTTTGGTCAAGTGCACGTGCCCAGGTTGTGGCCAGCCAATGATTCTCTCTCATCATTGGTGTTTCTATCTTTCTCTCCCTCTCCCTTCCTCACTGAAATCAATAAAATATATATATTAAATTTTTTTTTGAAAAAACAATAAGAAATGTGTGAAGAAATATGTGTGAGATAAAAAAGTATTGTTTTACAAACACTGAACATTTTTTATTTGGGGCTAGAAAAAGTATTATTCTAGGCAATTATTTAAAAAACTATTAGAGCATTGATTAGATTAAGTGAACTATAAGATTTCTTTATAATATTATATGTAATCTAAAATCTAGTAACAGTCATAAAATTCTGACGTGAATTTATTGAATCATGTATGCTTACTTATGGTTGCAAAATTTAAATATCTACGTTATTGACAACTATTCTTAACAAACTTCAAATGGAAGGTGCAAAGCTCTGTCTTGTCAGGGATCATAATAATTCCTACAGTAAGAGAGTTGGAGATAGAAGCTGTAATTTGTAATTGTTTCTTTGCATTCCTGCTTAAAATTATGCCCAGCCTTTGTTTGAAGATTATGTGTGTCACATCCATCCTTGCTGCATCAAAGATCTTCTAGTCTTGCAATGACGTGCAAACTTCTGAGTTTGGCATCAGTCACGATCCACTTAAGAAAACAGAAACTACTCTTTGTCTTTTTACTAAGGGCTATTTCTCACAGGTAGTTAATTACACAGATATATTAGATATTTGTGGTTTAATGCATTAGTACTTCCTGTAGATTTGCATGATTCCATGCTATTTTGCTGAATGGGTATGAGGGAGTTCAAGTTTGTTGCTGCCTTCCCCTGTGATATTTTAATTATATTTGGGAATGATAATGCTTTTAAAGGATTATTTTTATTATTTTTTAATAATTGACTACATATTTCAATAATAATTACTCACAGAATGCATACCGACTTAGCTTTACCAAGTATATTTTGTCAAATACATATATAATATACTAGCAAGCTTTAATTAAGATATTTTGTTATGGCCCTAACCGGTTTGGCTCAGTGGATAGAGCGTCGGCCTGGGGACTGAATGGTCCCAGGTTTGATTCCGGTCAAGGGCATGTACCTTGGTTGCGGGTACATCCCCAGTAGGAGGTGTGCAGGAGGCAGCTGATCGATGTTTCTCTCTCATCGATGTTTCTAACTCTCTATCCCTCTCCCTTCCGCTCTGTAAAAAATCAATAAAATATATTTTAAAAAAAAGATATTTTGTTATGTATATATCTCTATCTATAGTGTATATCTAAGAATTGGAAAGCTTCTAAAATTAACCAATCTAAAGAACCTCAATTTTAAAATGATGACACTGAGAATTTCTTTTAAATATTTAACAAATGTGTTCTAATTTTTGCAATATCAGCCATTTCCTAGTCAAAATACATGTGCATATTCACACACACACACACACACGCGCACAAGTCTTGAGAGGGCATCAGAATTTAAAAATGTAAAAGTAAAGCAAAAATCTTTCACTGTACATCTCAAAAAAATCTCCAGTGCACTCTCTTCATCATTCCATATAATTCATTTCAAATGTACATTTTTATAAATATATATGTATATTTACATGTAAACATGATGCATATATAAATTAGTATATATTATATATTAAATTTAGTTAAATAATATCTAGAAGATATTTTAATTGTTATAATTTTAGAATGATAGCATACAGTGTATGTTTAGAAATAAATAAAATACATGACTAATTACAAGTATTTCACTTTTAATACAGGTAAATTTTTCACAACAAATTGAACTACATAAGACATTATATACGTGTCAATAACATTTTGAACAATAAGGAAAAATTAATTGCTATCAAAATAATGTATAAAATTCAAGTGATTTAAATGTCACAACTTTAAAAAATATTTACTTTAGGATTCAGATATTCTAATTGTTTTAAGCCAACAGTATTATGGAATATTTAATGAAATAAGAAATTATTGTCTAAGGATCAATTCCTTGCAAATATACTGGATGCTATTTTTCATTACTTATGTCTTTAATTTATATTTTTCAATTGCCTCATATCTGTTACTCTAAATTTAGCTAGATTATATCATTTTTATTCAGTAAAAATACTGTTATTTGTGAATTTCTGAAACATAATAGTCAACCATCCTGGACGGAGCCTAAATTATATTTTTCTATATCAGAGATTAGATCAATTATCTTTTTCTTACAATATGAATGGGATCATTGCTGATTTTCTATGCATATAAGAATTAAATTTCTTCAAATAAATCTTATGTTTCTTTTGTGCCCACAAAGACATTTGGATACTCATCAGAAGTGTAAAAATTCCAACTAGAAGAAAAAAGAAATAATTATCCTTTCTTATTTCTGTGATGGATATAGCAAGTTATATTATAAAAAAACTATCATATAGTACTCAAAGTATTTCTCAAATGTTTCATAGTTTTCTATCAATTTTATTTACTCATATTAATTGCTTAGCTTATATATGTTCAATCAATATTTATTGCATGGTTTCATAAGCAGAGAAAGTACATAGCACAGGTCAAAATAAATCCACATTTTCATATCCCATTGCCAAAAAATATTACAAAATAAAATTTATTTATCTCTGAATTTTAATAAAATTTTCATATGCATGTAATATACCTCTGCACACATACACACAAATACATATGACAAACCATATTAATTATGATTCAAAAATTTTATGCAGTGAAATAAAAAATGGATGTAATGGATATTACAAATATCCCTTCTAATACATGCACTTAATTGAAATGTGTCTTTTTTGCATGTGTTAAAATGCCCAATATGCAAGATTATGCATTCATGCTCTCAGCCTTCCCTTCACAGACACTCATGGGGAACTGAAGAGCACATGCACGCCTGTGCCCATGCACAAGAGTAAGTTTCACGTTAGACGCATTATTACCACTACTTTTATCTACATTTCCTGGCATGGATTAGGCCACAATACATAGCAATACATAGTAAATAATGTTCCATTATATATGTATTTTTATTGTTGACCCTATTGCAAATGTCCCTATTCCTGCCCCCTCGTTCCCTCTTCCCTTTGGCCACCACTGTTATGTTTTAAAACTGCTTAGAAATCCAAAATAAAAATGAAAGCATAAAATCCTTTTGCAAATATGACAAACTTTTAGTACTCTGTAGTAACTTATTCTCAGAAATCACTTCTAAAGATACATTCACTTCAATTGTCAATAACCCTAGGTCTTACCTGGCAGAGTTTGTGTCATTACTGTGAAACTAATCCATGATCCAATCTGTTAGATGAAAACATAAATTAACGTTTATCTATGAGTTACCTACTAATTTGTTCACTTATAACATTAAATAGGTAATCCAAAGCTTCAAATATGTTAGAAAAATTATAGATAGAAATAAATTTCCCTAAAATAATTTGTGTTAAATATGATTAAATCATAAGAAATTCTATAAAACAGCATCATATTCATAAGAAAATGGAAGACATTGTTCCAAAAACTCTCACAAAAAATAAAATGTTAAAACATCTCAATACATTGTACATGAAGACTGTAAAATTTTATTTAAATATAGATAAATATATGCACAAATATTCTTTTTTCCCAGGGAAAATTGTGGTTGAAATGTTCCAATTTTCTGTGTATATACATTAATTTAAATCATATCATAATTTATAACTCTGACTACATTATATCTACAGATATGCCATATATTATCATATGTTAATCCACAACTCAGGTAAATACATAAATGTATATATTTATTATATTATCAAATAAAGATCCATTATATAAATACATAATAGCATACCTCATAGGTATAGTTAGGACATGAAACCAGGAAAAACATCCATGTGAAGGGGTTGTAATTTGGACTTGGAAAACAGGCATTAGTTCCTTTTATCAAAAAGAGTAAAATGTCAATTATGCTATATATTACAAATTTGAACATATATTTGTTATATAATTCTAACTCCCTAGAACAACTATATACCAGATAAAATGTCATCATGTATTTATAGAAACCTATTTCACAAATTACTCAGAAGAGAACCATTTTCAAATGTTATGACCTTTTGACTCAAATAGAATAATTGTCATTTTCTGACCATGTCTATAGTTATGTTGCTGTAAAATCACAGAATAAACCATGATAATTACTTCTCTAAGAGTTTAAATAAAACAAAATATAAATGTTACTTTAAATAGCATAATAGTTGCAGTGGCATTGGATACTGAGATTAATAAATTCATTCTTATATTTGCATGCCTCTTTCTGTAGTCTTTTAGTGTCAAAGAAGATAATTTTGGTTGTGATTATTAAATACCTCAAATGTTCTTTTCTATTAAATTAGTGAAAATCTAAAGGGAATTTTATAAGGATGTCATTTATATGAGAAAATTGTAAAAATGTAACATAAGAGGATAACAGTAAATATCCATATAGTTAATATTCAGAAATACCACGTAACATATCCATTCAGCAATCATGATTGTTATTTACAGCTCTCATTATCTTTAGCATATCGTCACTTGATTGTTGTTAGTTATATTTCACCTTTCAAATTTTTTCAGAAACCATTTTAGATAACAATTTTATAATAATTTCAAGTTGAACTTTGAGCCGTGACATTTGTAAAAAGTAAATGTGAATTATATTATTGTTTATTCTCCCTAGCAAGATTTAATCAGATACACACATAAACTAATCTCTTTAGTTATAATTCTAAAGTCATAATGAAATGTCAGTATGTTTTCAAAATTATAACTATTGTCGAAATACCAAAGTAAAAAATATATTTGGTTCTGGGAAGATTTCATGCACTACTCATTTAAAGATAAGAATGAATATGCATGCCATTTAATATTACAGATTTTCTTAGTAACATTTATATAAACATATTTGTGTGGTGCCCATATGTACATCAAAAGAAATATAATTGAAAAAGCTATTCAAGTCATAGTAACTGCATTTCAGAGGTGAAAGTTGCATACAAGGTATTCTGGGTTAAAACCTCTACTTTATGACTCATCACCCCTGGAGGTAGTGGCTGATCAGGGGTCCACAAATACAAATTTCTTCAAGATATAGTTTGTAGATTAAATAACCAATATGTGTGTTGTGACACAGAAACATGTATATAGATATTGTCATAAGTGTACATAGTTGCTGTTAATTGTAATAATAGCTTAGTTTAGGTATTACTAATTTAATTCATTCCCATCATGTTTTCTCAACCTATACCTACCATCTACACTAATAAAAGAGAAACATGGTAATTAGCGTACAACCGCTACCCTTTTCATTGGCTAATCAGTGAGTATATGCAAATTAACTGTCAGCCAAGATGGCTGCCGGCAGCCAGGCACTGAAGCGAGCAGGGAGGCTTGCTTGCTGCAGACTCCAACGTTCCCCGCCTCACTTGCCGGCCTCTCAGTTGCAACTCTAAGCAACTATATACTATGTTGCAAATAAGAAGCTAAACAAAACCCCAGAAAAGGGCTTCCATTCAGCCGGGCTCGGACCGCAACATTGTATCTATGTTTTCAGCAGCGAGGCCCCAGAGCTAAA